CCGCCAGAAGCTCCTACAGACCCGCACAGAGGAGGAATTCAAGGAGGCCTTGGTGCATCAGAGACAGCTGCTCACCGTGATGAGCCACGGCTCAGTGGCGCTGAGAACGAAGGAACACAGCACAGTCTCCCTCCCTGCCCACAGACACCAGGAGGTACAAGGGTAGAGCCCGGCAAGGGCCGGCAGGGTTTGGGGGGGCAGGGGCCGGACAGGGCTAACAGGCCCTCTGTTCTCTCCAACAGCCCCCAAAGTGCAAGGACTTTGTCCCTTTCGGGAAGGGCATCCGGGAGGACGTCGCACGCAGGTTCCCCCTGTACCCCCTAGACTTCACTGACGGTATGTGGCCTCGTGGCGCATCTAGAACACTGCTTTCTTTTTTTTTTTTTCTTTTTTTTTGAGACGGAGTTTCACTCATGTTACCCAGGCTGGAGTGCAATGGCGCGATATCGGCTCACCACAACCTCCGCCTCCTGGGTTCAGGCAATTCTCCTGCCTCAGCCTCCCAAGTAGCCGGGACTACAGGCACGCGCCACCATGCCCAGCTAATTTTTTGTATTTTTAGCAGAGACGGGGTTTCACCATGTTGACCAGGATGGTCTCGATCTCTTGACCTCGTGATCCACCCGCCTCGGCCTCCCAAAGTGCTGGGATTACAGGCGTGAGCCACCGCGCCTGGCAGAACACTGCTTTCGACATGTGTGCCCATCCTGCATCCTCAACAAAGCCTCTGTCCCATCCCCCATTCCTAGGCATTATCGGGAAAAACAAGGCTGTGGGCAAATACATCACCACCACCCTGTTCCTCTACTTTGCCTGCCTCCTGCCCACCATCGCTTTTGGGTCCCTCAATGACGAGAACACAAAGGGGGCCATCGGTGAGGGGTTGGCGGTGGGCAGTGGGCGGGGGTGTGCTGGGCAGGGCCCTGGGCTGCGACACCCGCCTGACCTCCCCACCCCCACAGACGTGCAGAAGACCATAGCCGGCCAGAGCATTGGAGGCCTGCTCTACGCGCTCTTCTCCGGGCAGCCGCTAGTGATTCTGCTGACCACCGCGCCCCTGGCGCTCTACATCCAGGGTGCAGTGGGGGCTGAGGAGGGAGATGGTACCTGAGACCCCTAATCCCTGCTGGGCTCTGACCCACCCTGCCCTCTGCCTGCAGTGATTCGTGTCATCTGTGATGACTACAACCTGGACTTCAGCTCCTTCTACGCGTGGACGGGCCTGTGGAACAGTTTCTTCCTCGCACTTTATGCCTTTTTCAACCTCAGCCTGGTCATGAGTCTCTTCAAGAGGTGACTGGTCATTCTGTGAGCTGCTGGGACTCTCAAGGCGTGGCATCTGGCTCAGCCTCATGCCAGCATCAGGCCCTGTAACCACAGGGCAAGGGGGGTGCCCCCACCATATCGCTACCTCAAGGGGCTGGGGTGGACTCGGGCAGGGACTGGGGCCCTGGTTTTCTTCCTGGCAGGAGGAGGCAGGGGACCCTGCAGGGGCTCAGTGGGCCTGTCCCGCCCACCCCCTGGTGACACTCGCTCTGATGAGGCTCATCACCTCCTGGCAGGTCAACAGAGGAGATCATTGCCCTCTTCATTTCCATCACATTCGTGCTAGATGCTGTCAAGGGCATGGTCAAAAGTGAGTCTGGCCAGGGACCACCTGCTGCACGGGGCACTCAGCCAAGACGGGAGGCCCTGCACTGTGGCCTGGCAGGGGGCAGATGGGACCTGCTCGAGCTGAGTGTGCGCCCGTGGTCAAGGGTGCGGGTGCCCTGGAAGCCATGGACTGGCAGAGGGCAGATCCCCCCACGAAGGAGGGTGACAGGGCCACCCAAGGTGGGATCAGCAGTAGGGGCAGAGGCACTGGGCAGACTGTGATGAGGTGTCAGAGATGGGACAGGGACAGTGGGCAGGAGTGCAGGTGCACAGACAGGGTCCTCCTTGCCTTCCCCCCCACCTTCACCCCACCCTACCCCTGGAGCCTTCTTCCTTCTGGGCCCCTTCCCTTAGGGCCCCTCCCCACCACGCGCTGGAGAGGGCTGAGGCCTGTGGGTCTGTGTCCACAGTCTTCTGGAAGTACTACTATGGGCATTACTTGGACGACTACCACTCAAAAAGGACTCCATCCCTGATCAGCCTGTCAGGCTTTGGCACCAGCCTCAATGCCAGCTTCCACACTGCCCTCAACACCAGCTTTCTGGCCAGCCCCACAGAGCTGTCCTCAGCCACGCACTCAGGCCAGGCGACCGCCGTGCTCAGCCTCCTCATCATGCTGGGCACGCTCTGGCTGGGCTACACCCTGTACCAGTTCAAGAAGAGGTGAGGGGCTGTGCAGGGAGGGGAGGGGCCCCCCGGGCCGAAGGTCGCACTCATGCACCCGCTGTCCCCAGCCCCTACCTGCACCCCTGCGTGCGCGAGATCCTGTCCGACTGCGCCCTGCCCATCGCAGTGCTCGTCTTCTCCCTCATCAGCTCCCACGGCTTCCGAGAAATCGAGAGTAAGTTGGGGCTGGGCGGCAGGTGGCGTGGGGTGGCTCCCAGGCGCTGCAGGTATAGCTGTAGTCTGTCCCCTGCTGCAGTGAGCAAGTTCCGCTACAATCCCAGCGAGAGCCTGTTTGCGATGGCACAGATCCAGTCACTGTCCCTGAGGGCCATCAGCAGCGCCATGGGCCTCGGCTTCCTGCTGTCCATGCTTTTCTTTATCGAGCAGAACTTGGTGGCCGCCTTGGTGAATGCACCGGAGAACAGGTGTGGAGGGCGGGTGAGGGCGGAGGTGGGCACAGCCTGGGCCCTGGGGGGTGGGGCTCTGTCCACCAGTGCCTGTCTGCTGCAGGCTGGTGAAGGGCACTGCCTACCACTGGGACCTCCTGCTCCTCGCCATCATCAACACGGGGCTGTCTCTGTTCGGGCTGCCCTGGATCCACGCCGCCTACCCCCACTCTCCGCTGCATGTGCGGGCCCTGGCCTTAGTGGAGGAACGTGTGGAGAATGGGCACATCTATGAGACGTGAGTGTGAGGCGGGCAAGAAATGTGGGACCCTGAGGAGCAGGGAGCCTCAGGCCACATGGGACATAGGGAGGGATGAGGCCCCATGGATGGGGGCGCGGAGGTGATGCTCAGCCTTGGGGGCGCTGCAGGATTGTGAACGTGAAGGAGACACGGCTGACCTCGCTGGGCGCCAGCATCCTGGTGGGGCTGTCCCTGCTGCTGCTGCCTGTCCCCCTGCAGTGGATCCCCAAGCCTGTGCTCTTCGGCCTCTTCCTCTACATCGCACTCACCTCCCTTGATGGTAATCAGCTAGTCCAGCGCGTGGCCCTGCTGCTCAAGGAGCAGGTGAGTGCTTTGCCCTGTGAGGGAGCGGCATGGGCAGGGACACAACCCCATGCCCGCTCACACCGGTCCCTGCCGCCCACAGACGGCATACCCCCCAACACACTATATCCGGAGGGTGCCCCAGAGGAAGATCCACTACTTCACAGGCCTGCAGGTGCTGCAGCTGCTGCTGCTGTGTGCCTTCGGCATGAGCTCCCTGCCTTACATGAAGATGATCTTTCCTCTCATCATGATCACCATGATCCCCATCCGGTACAGGTGGCTGGTAGTGGGCAGGAGGGGTCCAGTCTAGGGGTGGAGACTGGGCAGACAGGGGCAGTGGTCAGGAGGAAGGGTCCCACCTAGGAGTGAAGAATGGGTGGGCTGGGGTGGGTGGCCAGGAGGAGGGGACCAGCCTAGGAGTGGAGAATGGGTGAATTGGAGTGGGTGGGTAGCCAAGAGGAGGGGAGCAGCCTAGGAGTGGAGAATGGGTGAATTGGGGTGGGTGGGTAGCCAGGAGGAAACCAGCCTAGGGGTGGACAGTGGGTGGGCTGGGTGGCTGGTGGGCAGGAGCCCAGCCTAGGGGTGGAGAGTGAGCGGACTGGGGATAGGCGGGAGAGGAGAGGCCTAGCCTGGCCCTGTGAGTGGGCTGGGTGGGTGCCCACAGCCTTCTCTCTGACCCAGGCTTCTCCTCCTGTCCCTTCCTCCCCCCAGTTATCTCCTGCTGCCCCGAATCATTGAAGCCAAGTACTTGGATGTCATGGATGCTGAGCACAGGCCTTGACTGGCAGGCCCTGGCCACACCCCATTCACCAGCCCCCAACATGCCCCCAGGCTGGCTCTGGGACTGAGGGGAGGTGTGGGTGTGTGGGTGGCTGCTCTGCGCTGCGCTCTCTCATGGCTGACACAGGCCTGGGGCATCTGGGCATTGTAGGGGTGTAGCGGTGTGTGCCTGCCCCCCTCCCATTATCCTTTAGCTTTGGGCCAGGAGCATTGCTCAGGGCAGCTTCTGCCCAGGGTGGGTGGGACTGAGCAAGATGGATTTTCTTTTGATAAAAGAGTCGATGCCTGAAAGAGAAACCATTTCCTTGATTGTGTAAGGAACTCGCTGTACGCACACTAGAGAATAAAGCTCCTGTTTCTAGGCTTCCTGTGTCACCTCTGTCCCTGCTACCCCTACCCCCACCCTGGGGAGGAGAAGCCCTCCCTGGGGAAGTGGAATGAAAGGGACAGAGTCTGTGGAATGCCACCTGTGGGCTGTCACCTCCAACCTCCCACAGTGGGTGTTGGCCCAACAGTGAAACATGGAAGTTCCGGGAGGCCTTTGCGTGGCCATTTTTCCAGGGACCTGCAGGGAAAGCGTTCTGTAAACAGCATGTGCAAGGGTCCAGAGGAACAAGGGCTTGGGGCCACCAAGGCGCTATGGTTGGTGGAGAGCAGTGGGGCGGGGAAGGGTCATCAGGGTGATAGCCAAGGGCCCTGTGACTCAGATGGAAGCTGCCTGTGGGAGGCCAAGACTCCCACTTGTGAACCATCCTGTCTGTCCGACATATCCTGGATTTTACAAGGCGGGGCAGCGCTGGTGGGGATGGAGGGAAGTGGGAGGACTACCGATGGCAGGACATGGGGTGGGGAGGGTTTGATGGACAGGGGAAGGTGCAGTGTTTCTGGCTTGGTCATTTGTTGGTTGGTCAGGGGCTCACGGAGGCAGCCAGCAACAGGAATATGGCTCTGAGGCTCAGGGGAGTGCCCCATGTGCAGCAACTGTGGGCAAAAGGAACACCTGGAGCTGACGGCACCTCCGTTGGCTGCATCTAAAACTGAAACGGGACTAATATCTGAAATATGCAAAGAATTCCTGCAAACAAAGGACAGCAGCCCCAACAGAAGAGAGGCTGTAAACAGGGGAAGGAGGAGGCCCAACCGTAACGGGAGTGTCGAGAGGTACTCCCAGACAGATGCATGCCCATGAGATGCCACCTCACACTGGGTAGCCTGGTGTTGAGTGGGAGATCAGGAGCCCCCAGGGCTGAGAACCAATGCGGGTGGGTATGAGCACGCCCTTCACCCTGCTGTCTGTGGGGACAGGTAGTGAGTGTGGAAAAACCAACTCAAACCATTTTCCTCTGCTCTCACTGCACACAACAGTCAACAATGAAGACTTCTGTGACCAAGTGAGGGATTTCTCACGGGACAGTGGCTGGGTGCCCTCCCATTCAATTCAATTCAACCCAGCCGCTCCCTGCCTACAGATGGCTTCAGAAACCCCAGGTCAAGGGCTCAGTCCCACAAGACCAACCCTTCCTACCAGTCCAAGGTCTGGGCCTGCAGAACTTCTGACAGACTGTCTTCAAGTTGGGGTTCTAATGACTCTTCTTTTGGGTTCAATTAATTTGTTAGAGTGGTTCACAAAAGTCAGGGACACATTTACTTCATTTAGCAGGTTTTAATTTTTTTTTTTTTTTTTTGAGACAGTCCCACCCAGGCTAGAGTGCAGTGGCGAGATTTCGCCTCACTGTAACCTCTGCCTCCCAGGTTCAAGCAATTCTCACGCCTCAGCCTACCGAATAGCTGGGACTACAGGCGCCTGCCACTACACCCAGCTAATTTTTGTATTTTTAGTAGAGCTGGGTTTCACCATGTTGGTCAGGCTGGTCTTGAACTCCTGACCTCAAGTGATCTGCCTGCCTCGGCCTCCCAAAGTGCTAGGATTTCAGGTGTGAGCCACCATGCCCAGCCTAAATTTTTTTTTAAATTATTTTTTAAAGTTCCTAGTGATGAATAAGAGAGTTGAATGGGCCCAGGGCCTCGGCTCCACCCTACTCGCTTATTAAAAAGGCTATTACAGATAATTCAGATGAAGAGATGCTTAGGATGAGGTGTGGGGAGAGGGGCATAGGGCTTGTGTGCCCTCCCTGGGGCGTTACCCTCCAGGATCCCCCATAAGTTCAGCTATCCAGAAGCTCCCCAAACCCTGGCCTTTTGGGTTTTTACCGAACCCTCATTACACAGCCATGATTGAATAAACCACTGGCCACCAGGGATCAATTGACCCTTCAGCCCCACCCCTCCCTGGAGGTGTGGCAGGGGGTGGAGACTGAAAGTCCCAGGCTTCTAGTCCTGTTTTAGTCTTTTCCCTAACCAACCTACCTAGGCCCTGCCAGCCACCAGTCAACTCAGCACACAAAAAGACACCACTGTGGAGCTTCTGAGGATTTTTTGTTTTTTTAGATGGGGTTTCACCATGATGGCCAGGCTGGTCTTGAACTCCTGACCTCAGGTGATCCACCCACCTCGGCCTCCCAAAGTGCTAGGATTACAGGAGTGAGCCACAGTGCTCGGCCTCTGAGGATTCTAGAGTTGTATGCTAGGAAACGGGTTGAAGACCAAGTACATGTTTGTTTTTTGGGGGTTTTTTTTGAGACAGTCTCACTCTGTCGCCAGGTGCCAGGCTGGAGTGCAGTGGTGTGATCTCGGCTCACTGAAACCTCCGCCTCCCGGGTTCAAGCAATTTTCCTGCCTCAGCCTCCCGAGTAGCTGGGACTACAGGCACACGCCACCACGCCCAGCTCATTTTTGTATTTTTTAGTAGAGACAGGGTTTCACCATGTTGGCCAGAATGATCTCGATCTCTTGACCTCGTGATCCGCCCGCCTCGGCCTTTTGGGGTTTTTTTTTTTTTGAGACGGAGTCTTGCTCCTGTTGCCCAGACTGAAGTGCGACGGCACTATCTCGGCTCACTGCATCTCCACCTCCTGGGTTCAAGCGATTCTTCTGCCTCAACCTCCTGAATAGCTGGAATTACAGGCATGCACCACCACACCCAGCTAACTTTTTTATATTTTTAGGGGAGATGGGGTTTCACTATGTTGGCCAGGATGGTCTCAACCTCCTGATCTCAGGTGATCTGCCCGCCTGGGCCTCCCAAAGTGTTGGGATTATAGGCGTGAGCCACTGCACTCAGCCACGTTTTTTTAAAATGAGACGGGGTCTCACTCTGTTGCCCAGGCTGGAGTGCAGTGGCGCTATCATGGCTCACTGTAGCCTGAATTTCCCTGGGCTCAGGGGATCCTCTCATCTCAGCCTCCTGAGTAGCTGGGGCCACAGGCACGTACCACCATACCCAGCAAATTTTTGTAGAGACGAGGTTTTGCCATATTGCCCAGGTTGGGCATGAAGTCCTGGGCTCAAAGCAATCCTCCCACCTTGGCCTCCCAAAGTGCTGGGATTATAGGCATGAGCCACCTCGCCTGGACCCAGATATATACTTCACAGTATCACAGGTAGCTAAAGTCAAAAAAGGGGCCAGGAGTGTCATGTGCACCCAGGACAGAATTCTGGAGGAGCTGAACAGGAAACAGTGCCCTGCCCCAGCCTATGTATCCACTCTGCTAGGCAGCCCGTGATTCTTCTTTGGGGTCCCCTGCACAGGGGGGCTGCATCTACGATCACCCAGCAGGGAGCAGGCAGGCTCCCAGCACCCCATGTTTGAGGCCCAGCCAGACTTCTCCCACCCACCAAGGAGACTCAGGAGGCTGGGCAGGGGCACAGTGCTTCCTGGGGCTTTAACCTAGCTGGGGCTTGTAGACAAGAGGGGAGCAAAGGAATGACACTCTGTCCTAACCCAGGTACACTGCTACCCTGCGCCATCCTGCTGGATGGAGTCACAGGGACTGCAGAGGCCTCTCCAGAGCTGCCTGTGGGCACAGAAGCAAGCCTGGGGGTGCCCCACTAGCCTGAGCCCACCATGCCCCCTGGAATGTCCTTGGGGTTGGGCACAATGACAAGGGAGCCACCTGGGCAAGTTCCTTCCAGGGAATGGCTTCACCAGGGCACAGAGTAAGGGTGTGCAGCATGAGCGAGGCCTCCTGAGGGGCCTGCAGCCCACAGGCTGAACTGTGGCTACAAGCCAAGTGGGGTTGAGGACTCCAGCCCCTCCCCACCATAAAAATGAACTGGGTATTGTAATTGTAAACCAATATTTTTTTTTTTTGAGACGGAGTTTCACTCTGTCACCCAGGCTGGAGTGCACTGCCACGATCTTGGCTCACCGCAACCTCTGCCTCCCAGGTTCAAGCAATTCTCCTGCCTCAGCCTCCCAAGTAGCTGGGATAACAGGCACATGCCACCACACCCAGCTAATCTTTTTTGTATTTTTAGTAGAGATGGGGTTTCACCATCTTGGCCAGGCTGGTCTCAAACTCCTGACCGCAAGTGATTCATCCGCCTCGGCCTCCCAAAGTGCTGGGATTACAGGCATGACCCACCATGCCCGGCCTAAACCAACATTTTAGCGGGTCTGATATGTAACAGCATAAGACAAAAGCATTGGGCGGGCCACACCACCCAGTCCCCAATCCAGCAAGGCTTCACGGAGTCCCTGTCCCCCTGGTGGGGGACAGCATAGATCCAGCACAGAGAAAGTCAGCCCACAATCTGTGCCATAGAGTGAGGCAAGAACGCGAGTGGAGATGTAGCACTCCAGCTCACAGTGGCAACTGAATGCCTTCCAAACGGCACCGCCAGTGTCCCCATCCCCACCCTCAACCAAAAGGCTTCCTGCACTGCCAAAGCAATGAGACAGACACCTGCCTGCGGCAGGGTTCAAAACAGATATAGCTGGTTTATTCTGGAAACAAGTCTCACCCAGAAATGTGATTTGCTACATTCAAAAAACAGCAGAGGTGATTTGCATGGTTCCTCTCCAAACCCTCACTCCACCAAGTCCAGCTTTACCACCCAAGGTCCTTTCAGGATCCCAGGCCTGGAGGCTGCAGGAGACAGCACCAATTCCCTAAGGGCAAGAGAATGGCGTCCAGTTGCCCAAAGTTTCTCAGAGCAGAGCCAGCTGCTCCTCCAGACAGGCTGGTGAGGCTACTCAACACTCCCAGGAAGTAGAAATCCTGAAGGACGTAGGTTTCAGGCTAGCCCTCCCCAGATCCCCAGCCGGAGGCACCTCCAGCCACAGAAGTCAAGCTGCCAAAGTACTCCTGCAGTTCCAGCAGGGCCCGGAAGCGATGTGAGATGGCGTTCTTCTCTGCCTTAGGCATCTCTGCATACCTGAGGGGTGACAGTAGCAGCTCAGAGGGAGCCCTGATCAGGGAGGAAGCACATCCCCTCCCTACCCTACTCTCATCCCTGGAGTCCAAAGCTCACAGACCCCCAGGAAAGGGGACTGAGGCCCAGCAGCTCCTGGCAGCCAGTGAATTTTTAAAAATTGGATGATGTTTTCAATTCCCCTGTAGGCAGACGCCCCCATGAATGTGCATGGAGGGACATTAAACTTGCTCTAGTGTGCCCAAAGTCATTAAGGGAAGCTGGGGACAGGGGAGATGAGCTGCATGTTTGATCAGCTTTGTCATCTGTTGACAGGAAGCAGTGGGGCCTGACAGAGCAAACACAACAGTCTCCTCTAATGTGCGGAGGGCGGGGGAGCACTTGAATAGCTGGCCATGGGCCTACCTCCCTGCCAGCATGGCAGAGAGGGGTGAATCCCACACCCTACCTGTGGCCTGCAGATTGCTCTGTGCCAGTAGCCACTAGCCAGGTATGGCTATTTAAGTGAATTAACGCTGAATAAAAATATTCAGTTCCTGGGTCTCACCGCACTGCAAGTGCTCCATAGCCCCATGTGGCTAGTGGCTGGTTTCACAATGTCCTCACCCCTGCTGGGGCTATTGTGGGGCTTCAGACTGTACTCCCTAACGGCCCTTCCAGCTTGGAAAGCCTGATCCCAACAATGGCCCTTGTGTGAATAAGGGAGGATTCGTGTGAACTACTGAGAACAACTGGTACCGTTAGGGCATAAAACAGTGCCCACCAGAGGCTGCAAAAGTCCAGACATTTTCCCAACCTAGATGGGGGTCAGAAAATGATGCCTTAGGCCAGGGACGGTGGCTCATGCCTGTAATCCCAGCATTTTGAGAGGCCAAGGCGGGTGGATCATGAGGTCAGGAGTTCAAGACCAGCCTGGCCAAGATGGTGAAACCCTATCTCTACTAAAAATGCAAAAATTAGCCAGGCGAGGTGGCAGGCACCTGTAATCCCAAATACGCAGGAGGCTAAGGCAGGAAAATCGTTTGAACCTGTGGGACAGAGGTTGCAGTGAGCTGAGATCGTGCCCACTCCAGCCTGGGTGACAGAATGAGACTCTCGTCTCAAAAGGGAAAAAAAAAAATGATAGCATAAAACTGTCAGATTTGGCTGGGCGTGGTGGCTCACGCCTGTAATCCCAGCACTTTGGGAGGCCAAGCTGGATCACCTGAGGTCAGGAGATCGAGACCAGTCTGACCAACATGGTGAAACCCTGTCTGTACTAAAAATACAAAAAAAATTAGCCAGGCGTGGTTGCATGCTCCTATAGTCCCAGCTACTCAGGAAGCTAAGGCAAAAGAATTGCTTGAACCGGGAGGTAGAGGTTTCAGTGAGCCAAAATTGCACCACTGCACTCCACCTTTGTGACAGAGCAAGACTCCATCTCAAAACAAAACAAAACAAAACTGTCAGATGTACAGCTTACAGGCCAAGGCCAGAGAGGTGGAACCACTGGCCACACAGCTGATGTGGGGTGAGCTGGAGCCTCAGAGCCCAGGACTCCTAGCACCATCTGGCTGCCTCCCCAACCATGGTCTGGGCCACCCAGATTCCTAGTGTCCACCCCAGCAGAGCTGCTTTTGGCTGGAACGGCACCCTCGGAGCCTCCCCCGCCCATATCCGCATGCCTGCACATGGGCGGGGCACCGGCCCAACCCAAACCATGGCTATGCCAACCCCACACCCCAGGGAAGAAACAGGGCTCCTTACGTCTGCTCATATCCATCAGGCTGAAAGCAGGGGTCCCAGCCAAAGTCCCGACAGCCTCTGGGTGCCACGATCTGGCCCTGTCACAGGAAAGGGGGGACAGGTATGTAACTGGAACCAGAGGAGAAGCACGAGAAGGACAGCAGCCAGTATGAGTTTGGTGAGTGTGGGAATTTGATTTGACCCAACTTACGCAAAATGTAGTTACAAGGGCTCCACAGCACCTGCAAATGTTTGCTGAATACAATAAAAAGCAGAGCAGGGGCTGGGGCTCACGTCCGTAATCCAGCACTTTGGGAGGCCAAGGCAGGCGGATCACGAGGTGAAGAGATCGAGACCATCTTGACCAACATGGTGAAACCCTGTCTCTACTAAAAATACAAAAATGAGCTGGGCATGGTGGCACGTGCCTGTAATCCCAGCTACTCAGGAGGCTAAGGCAAGAGAATCACTTGAACCCAGGAGTTAGAGGTTGCAGTGAGCTGAGATGCGCCATTGCACTCCAGCCTGGTAACAGAGCGAGACTCCATCTAAAAAACAAAAAAGTAGAGCAGGGCAGCTCTCCCACACACACACAGGGAGGAAGCACGTACTCGACGAGCCCACCAGCACCTCCAGGGCCATGCGCTCTCTCCACACCTGGGACAAACTGGGGCATCACTGAAGAACAATGAGGCTATTTTGAAAGATAGACAGAAAACATTTTCTCCTAATAAGAAGCTAAGTGCCCTGTACTTTGGATAAGTTAGATGTTTGCTACTATGACAGCGTTCCTGAAGATACAAGGCAGGCTTTAACACTAGGATGAAATACCGTAACAGGAAGCGGGCACCCAACTCTCCGCTTCATGAACACGTCAGTGAGTACAATAAATACTGGCTGCAGGAGGGAAATTCCACAGTGAAAATGTTAGAAAAAGAACAAATTGTAATCCAGTGACATGAAATGTCATGTTATCAAAATTAAAAAGAAAAAACAATCTGGCCAGGCGCAGTGGCTCATGCCTGTAATCCCAGCACTTTGGGAGGTCGAGGTGGGAAGATCACTTGAGCCCAGGAATTTGAGACCAGCCTGGGAAACATGGCAAAGGCAAAACCCCATCTCTACAAAAAATACAAAAATTAGCTTGGCCTGGTGGTGTGTGCCTGTAGTCCCAGCTACTTGGTGGGAAGATTGCTTGAGCCCAGGAGATCGGGGCTGCAGTGAGCTGTGATCATGCCACTGTATTCCAGCCCAGGTGACAGAATGAGACTCTGTCTCAAAACAAACATTCCAAAAAAACCCAAAAAATTCTAACTGAAAAAATACAAGCAGCCAGGTGTGGCAGCTCATGCCTGTAATCTCAGCACTTTGGGAGGCCGAGGCAAGAGGATCCGCTTAAACCCAGGAGTTCGAGACCAGCCTGGGCAACACAGTCAGACCCTATCGCTACCATTTTTTTTTTTAATTAGCCAGATGTGGTTGCTCACACCCGAGGTCCTAGCCACCCAGGAGGCTGAGTTGGGAGAATGACTTGAGCCCAGGAGATGAAGGCTGCAATGAGCCATAATCATGCCACTGCACTCCAGCCTGGGTGACAAAAAGACCATCTCAAAAAAATTTTATTTATTCTATCTTATTTTTGAGATGGAGTTTCACTCTTGTTGCCCAGGCTGGAGTGCAATGGTGCCATCTCGCCTCACCAAAACCTCCACCTCCACCTCCCAGGTTCAAGGGATTCTCCTGCCTCAGCCTCCCGAGTAACTGGGATTACAGGCATGCATCACCACACCCGGATAATTTTATATTTTTAGTAGAGATGGGGTTTTACCATGTTGGTCGGGCTGATCTTGAACTCCTGACCTCAGGTGATCTGCCTACCTCAGCCTCCCAAAGTACTAGGATTACAGGCATGAGCCACCATACCTAGCTGTTTAAAAAAATTTTTTTTTAAAAAACAATGGAGGTGGGGCTGGGCGCAGTGGCACATGCCTGTAATCCCAGCACTTTGGGAGGCCAAGGTGGGTGGATCACAAGGTCAGGAGTTCAAGACCAGCCTGGCCAACATGGTGAAACCCCATCTCTAAAAAGTTAAAAACAGGCAGGGCGCGGTGGCTCACGCCTGTAATCCTAGCACTTTGGGAGGCCGAGGTGGGTGGATCCCCCGAGGTGAGGAGTTCAAGACCAGCCTGGCCATCATGGTGAAACCCCATCTTAAAAAAAAAAACAAACAAAAAAAACAACAATGGAGGTGGTACATGACTGGTATGAGCCACATAAATGCCAAGTCATTTAGACCCAAGGGCAAATTCTACTTCTGCTGTGAGGAGCTATGGAACCAAGGCCAGTTACTCAATCACTCTGAACCTCACCCATGCAACAAATGTTTTCTGTGCACCCACGGGGGGCCAGGTAGTTCCCAGCACTGGGGTTATGGTACGGCTAGTCTTGCCCTCATACAATAGTCCTTTTAAGCCAAAGAGGGCATTACACCAGTAAAAAATTAATAAAATTAATGACCAACATGGAGAAACCCCCCACTCTACTAAAAATACAAAATTAGCAGGGCGTGGTGGCAGACACCTGTAATCCCAGCTACTCAGGACACTGAGGCAGGAGAATTGCTTGAACCTGGGAGGCGGAAGTTGCAGTGAGCTGAGATTGCGCCACTGCACTCGAGCCTCGGCAACAAGAGTGAAACTCTATCTCAAAAACAAACAAAAAACAAGGCACAGTGGCTCATGCCTGTAATTCTAGCACTTTGGGAAAATGAGGCAGGCAGATTACTTGAGGTCAGGCGTTCAAGAGCAACCTGGGCAACACAGTGAAACCCTATCTCTACCAAAAATACAAAAAGTAGCCAGGCATAGTGGCTCACATGATCCTAGTTACTCCCTGAAGTGGGAGGATCACCTGAGCCTGGGAGGTGGAGGCTGTAGTGAGCAGTGACTGCACCACTGCACTCTAGCTTGGGTGACAGAGCAAGACTGTCTCACAAAACAAAACAAAACAAAACAAAAAAATTTACCAGGCAACATGATCCAGCAATTCCACTTCTGGGTATTTATCCAAAAGAACTGAAAACAGGATATCCGCACTCCTGTGTTCATTACATTATTCACAATAGCCAAGAGGTAGCTAAACACCATCAACAGATAACTGGATACAAAAAGTAGTCTCTGCATGAAATGGAATATTATCCACCCTTAAGTCCTAGAAAATTCTGTCACATGCTATAACACAGATGAACCTTAAAACATTATGCTGGCCGGGCACAGTGGCTCATGCCTGTAATCCCAGCACTCTGGGAGGCCGAGGCAGGCAGATCATGAGGTCAGGAGTTCAAGACTAGCCTGGCCAATATGGTGAAACATCATCTCTACTAAAAATACAAAAATTAGCCGATGTGGCGCGCGCCTGTAATCCCAGCTACTCGGAAGTCTGAGGCAGAAGAATCACTTGAACCCGGGAGGCAGAGGTTGCAGTGAGCTGAGATTGCGCCACTGCACTTCAGCCTGGGCAACAGAGCAAGACTCCATCTCAAAAACAAACAAAAAGCATTAAGCTAAATGAAATGAACTAGTAACAAAAAGATTCACATCTTATGATTCCACTTACATGAGGTATCTAAAGTAGTCAGACTTTTAGTAAGTAGAACGGTGGTTGCTAAGGGCTTGGAGAAGGGGAAAGGGAGTTGTTCAATGGGTAGAGTTTCAGTTTTACAAAATAAAAAACTTCTAGAGATATGCTACGTAACAAGAGACTAACCTGTGCAATACAGCAAGACTCCACCTCAATTTAAAAAATAAAAATTGGGCAGGTGCGGTGGCTCACGCCTGTAATCCCAGCACTTTGGGAGGCCAAGGCGGGCGGATTACTTGAAGTCAGGAGTTCGAGAACAGACTGACCAACATGGTGAAACACCGTCTCTACTAAAATACAAAAATGAGCTGGCTGTGGTGGTACGCACCTGTAATCCCAGCTACTTCAGGAGGCTGACGCACAAGAATAGCTTGAACGTGGGAGGTCAAGATTGCAGAGAGCCGAGATCATGCCACTGCACTCAAGCCTGGGCAACAGAGAGACTCAGTCTCAATCAATCAATCAATCAATAAATATTATGGCTGGGTGTGGTGGCTCACGTCTTGTAATCCCAGCACTTTGGGAGTCCAAGGCGAGTGGATCACTTGAGCCCAGGAGTTCAAGACCAGCCTGGGCAAGATGGCAAGACCGCATTTCTACAAAAAATAAAATTAATTAGCCAGGTGCAGTGGCATGTGCCTATAGTCCCAGCTACTCAGGTGGCTGAGGCAGAGGATCCCTTGAGCCCAGGAGTTCAAGGAGTCAGTGAGCTATGATTGTGCCACCTCCCTCCAGGCTGGGTGACAAAGTGAAACACTGTATCTTTAAAAAAAAAAAAAAAAAAAGCTATAACCGGCGAGTACCAAGAGAAAAAAGAAAGATTTTGATAGTAATTTTTTTTTTTTTTTTTACTGTTACCACCACCACCAAAAAGTTTGAGCAGACAAGGTAAGACATCTGTGAAGAGCACACAGTGGAATCTCTGGACTTTCTCTTTTTTTGAGACGGAGTTTCGCTCTTGTTACCCAGGCTGGAGTGCAATGGCGCGCTCACCGCAACCTCCACGTCCTGGGTTCAGGCAATTCTCCTGCCTCAGCCTCCTGAGTAGCTGGGATTACAGGCATGCGCCACCATACCCAGCTAATTTTTTGTATTTTTAGTAGAGACGGGGTTTCACCATGTTGACCAGGATGGTCTCGATCTCTTGACCTCGTGATCCACCTGCCTCGGCCTCCCAAAGTGCTGGGATTACAGGCTTGAGCCACCGCACCCAGCCAATCTCTGGACTTTCTCCCGAGCAAGAGGAACTGCAGGAGTGGAGTGGCAGAAGACACACTCTGCACATGCAACTCACAGAAGGAATGAGTTTGGGCAAAAATTAAGGTTTTTGTTTTTTTCCTTTTTTGAGACTGGGTCTCATTCTGTCACTCCATGGCTGGTGTGCAGGAGTACAATCATAGTTCACTGTACCCTCAAATTCCTGGGTTTACGTGATCCTCTCACCTCAGTCTCCCAGGTAGCTAGGACTACAGGTGTGCACCACCATGCCCGGATAATTTTTAATTTTTTTTTTTTTAAGGCAGTTTTGCTCTTGTTGCCCAGGCTGGAGTACAATGGTGTGATCCTGGCTCACCACAACCTCTGCCTCCTGGGTTCAAGTGATTCTCCTGCCTCAGCCTCTGG